AGGAATGAGTGATGTGAATGGCTGCCGGATATTTTATATAAAACGACTTTTAAGTGGTGAAGGAAGAGTTACTTTCACTTCCACCAAGCTTGTTGACTGCCTCCACAAAGGCTTCATGAAGTTCTGGAGTCCAACGCATTCGTTGCTTGGTTTGAGCACAATTAGCAGAAGATGATTGAGCAACAGTGGTGCAAGTTTCTCCAGGTGTAGCTGGGAGCTGTTCATTGGGCTGCTGTATTGAGAAATTTGTCGACAGATTGGACATATGATGATGTACCTGCATTAACAGAACAAGGACCAAGAACCCGGTTAATTTTCATTCTCTATTGTACACCAAAAGAATATGTAAGAAGGAACACTGCAGTGGATGCATAAAGAAAATACAATCAACCTTTGGTGCTGGATCTGCAATACTTGCATCAGCAAGAAGCTCATTCCAGTCAGAAGTCAAAGCATCATCATCAGTGAGAAGCTGGTTAGCCCATTCCTGCCAATCATCATGTTTAGTAAGTTCCTCGGATGGAATGGCAGTGCCGCTGCAGTTACTCCTTTCTAGTTGATTATTCTGGATAGAGGTACTTAAAGGATAATCAAGAAAATCAGGCAGTGAATCTGTACACCAAGAGGGGTTGTAATCTTCCTTGTTATAGTGACTTGATGCTGTGGATCGAGGGGCTTCAGAATCAACAGAATGAGGCAACATAAGTGATGTCTCACTGTTAGTTGATTGAGATATGAGATGAGATTGTCTTGGATGGTTCTTTTGTTCCGGGTTAGATGAAAAAAAAAGATCGGTAGAATATCCCGAGGATGAAGAAAATAGATGGCCAACTACCCCATTGTTGGAAGACATTTGCGAAATGATAGCTGGAGAATGTTGCACGCGTTCCCTCTCCCTGGAATCCTGCTTGGAAACTGCTAGTTTAGGATATCTTTCTCCCAGAGGGGTTGGCAGAACAGGAAAAGAAGAAGACATAGTCCCAGAAACCCCAAAGTTACTAGGTTGTCTTGCACCCTGATCTTTGAATAGATAAAGAAGGTTTTGCTTCCATTGTGGCTGTGTAGAAAAGGTGACTTCAGCTTACGTCATACAGAACTAGCTACTATACCACAAGAATATGAATGATGTATGAATGCTCAATTAATGAAACACACAGAAATAAATAACCAAGAACATTAATCTATTCCCAAGTTGCAGAAAAGAGCGTGACGAGTCATGCAAGCAATTTCCTTCCTCGTGATGATGAAGAAATGAACTTGGATCCAATTCTTCTCATAGCTAGAACAAAATAACCGCATTATAAACCTATTGTTCATTGTAGCCAAATAAAATACAACCTCTTGGTACAAATTCATTTACTCATATGCACGACCTACATTAATATGAAAGGATTTAGTTCAGGCACTCCTCAGCTCTTAACACAAACTTGTCATGCTCTCTTTACGAGTATACTTTATGCTGTAGTGCATGGAAAGCTAGAAGCTTTTCGACAGTCTTCAGAATTTACAAAATCAGGACGATGGAAACATTGTTTTCCTATGGAGATGCTCAGAGTCTTACCAGAAATTTTTGGGGATTATAGAGCTGAATGCAGCATGAGCTCAACTCGGTGTCTTGAGAATGAATGAAACATTGTGGCTCTTCACAAAGATAACGAATAGCAGAACTACAAACCATACACTAGACTGGACATGATTAGATTCATCTAAAAATTTAACCAGTCATCACTCCTGCATTATGATCCTAAGGTCGTAATATAATAGTATGATAACAATATAAACCTGCATACACAATTTTACATGAAAAGTCTCATAATTAATTGTTAATCATTTGCCCTTGTAGACCTCAAGATTAGAGATGAGATTTAATTTCAGGAGCCAGTGCATTTGAGGAAATATCATAGTGATGAGATTTAATTTCAGTTAAATAAAACTCTTAACGTTTTCTATAACTTACATTAGGATAATCTGCATAAAGCTCTCGTCTTTACTCAAAAATTTCAACCTCATATGATCATATCATTCATACAGACCAGAAATTAATTATACGAAACCTTGAATAATTTAAATTATAGGCAGACAACAAACAAAAAGAAAAAAGGAAAAAAATTATAACTCAATCTTGCCTTTATAAATATAAAACCCTTTAACTTAAAGAATCCAATCAATATTTAATCACCCATTCAAAAGATAATAAAAATCGACATGGGTCGTCGTTCAAAAAATAAAATCTACTAATTACAATTACAGAAAATGAAATTTTGCATACGTATCAAAAGGGTATCAAAGTTCTTACCTAAAATCGCAAAAAAATAAATAAAAAAAATAAAAAATCAGCAAATGAGATTTGAACAGCTCCTAATCGAATTCTTGTGCGATTAAAAATCTACGACACACACCCATAATAGCTGGTCATAGATACGTATATGCGTTAGTGTGTGTTCTGTGTGTAACTTCAAACTGGTTTATGGGGATTCCGTCACCGGCGAGTGCCCAAAAGAATTGAGCTGTCTTTCTTCGCCTCTTCTAGCGTTTGCGTTTGCCGTTTGGCTTTTGTGAGATTTATACTCCCGGCTAACTCTAAGCACGCGCGTCAGTTGGCTCGTGTAAGATACTTGTCACTTTGAGTGGATTAAAACTGTTTTTGCTAAAGAGTAACAACGTTATTTAGGCCTTGTCTGGGAGTAATGAAAT